CGGCGCCCGCCCCCGCCCCACTGGGCCTTGTGCCCCGCCCTGCAGGCGCGACGGGTCCCTGGATTGTGCATGTGACGTCAGGTAACAGGCCAGGCGCGTCAACATTAGTGTCCATCGGGAGTGGTCACGTCGCTGGGCTCCCTGGGGGCAGGGTCAGTGGCAGCACCGTGAGGCTGCCCGCAGCCGCTGAGGCACGAGTCCCGGCCAGGGAGGGGCTCCGGGGTGCGGCGCCCCCCCCCCGTGTCCCCGCTGCCCCCTCAGCAGTGGGTTTGAGTGGATCCGCCTGTCCCTGCTCCCCGCTCCGTCCCTGGGGCGTCCTCTCACCCGTGTATCTCTGGCCCGCACCCCAGCTCTTGTGTGCATAAGTAAATTTAAAAATTAACTGGCTCCATTAAAAAGATGATGCAGCCGAGAAATGTCACGAATGACCCCGACGTGGGAGCCGCGTTCCCCGGGAGGAGGTGGGCTGGGGCTGGGGAGGGCGGCAGAGAGCGGGCGCTGCGGCCTGGGCCCCCCGGGTGGCGTCCGGGCTGGGCAGCGGCCGCCCAGTCCCGTAAATGTAACTGGAGTCCGGCTCTCGATTTCAAATTGGGGGTGGAGAACATGCCGGAAGGTAACAGAAATGGAAGCTGCTAGATCGGGGCACGTGGGCACCAACCGCACCCCAAGACCCTCCGCCTAGGAGATCATCCTGTCTAATAAATTTCTACAGGACTGACTTGTGCGCTGTCCAGTGTGTTCGTGCGGGGTGGGTCAGGGTCGGGAGGTCACCCCGGGCCTCCCCACAGGCGTCCTGACCCCTGAGAGGCCGCGCCAGCACGCAGCGGCGTGGGGCCAGCGCCCCCTTGGCGTTTCTGTGCTCTGCGCCCCGTGTGTGTGTGGGGGGCAGCGGGCAGCGGGGAGCCGCCACCACCTCGAGGATTTGTAAAGACGCTGCAGCCCTGGCCGCACGCCGAGCCCCGCTGAGGGTCCAGGTCCCGCGCCTCCGCTGGGCTGGGCAGCAGGCGAGGGCCAGTGGGAGGCTGGTGCCCAGGGGTGGGGCGGGGCGGCTGGCCGCAGGCCGGGGAGTAGGGGGGGCCAGGCCCTCTCACCGGCTCCCCTCTCACCCCGCCGGCTCCCAGCCAGGGCAGCTTCCCAGCCGCTGGGCCTGCTCCAGCCTCACGCTGCCCTTTGCCCGGGCGGCTGTCCAGGCACCGTGTCCCGGGCCGTCCGTCCTGAACTTCGAGCCAGGGCAGAGGCCACGGCTTCGCGTGCGCGCCCTGGGGCCGGCCGGCGCCCGTGGGACTCCGCGCCCGAGCGCCCACTCCTGGGAGACGCCGCGCTCGCCCCCACCTGCCTGTCGCCCCTCTGCCACGCACGGGTGCGGTGGTGGGAGCCAGGGCAGGCGGGCTCTGCTACCAGAAACCGCGGTGGCCGCTTCCCGCCGCGTGGACGGGGCGACGCGGTCTGGGAACCCGCAGCCCCCATCACCAGAACACGGGGCCCGGGGTGGGGTGGGGCTGGCCCTGGGGGAGGCGCCCCGGTCGGCCGGCTGCTCCCTCAGACTCGAGGGGCTCCGGAGAAGGTGACCCCGCCCCGCCGGCGTCTTAGGCCAGATGCGGTGCCATCGGCCTCGGAGTCGGACTGGCCCTGGGCTGGGCGCGCCCGGCTGGCGTGGGGGGGCCGGACCCCCTCGCGGGCCTGCTCCTGTGGGCTCCCGGCAGTGAGGCTTGAGGGAAGCCATTGGAAAGTGTACCTCAGAACCTTCTAGAAAGGGCGTCAGAGGTCACAGAACGACACAGGCCTTGCTGGAAGACAGCTTCTTAGAAACGGGGCAGAAGCGCCTCACGGGGCGACAGCCACGGCCCCGGGTCGCCGGCCCCCAGCGCGTCTCCTTCGGGCCGTGACCCACCTCCTACTTGGCTACGTCTGGCACGGAAGCAGATATGCCCAGGGGAGCCCTCACGCAGCCGTGGCAGCGGGCCCCGCTCTCCCCTGCTCTCTGCCCCCCTGGGCTGGGCCTTAGAGGCGTTGCCCGAGACGCCCCGTCAGCCAGGGCTGCCGCTGCGAGGAGACGCCGGCGCCCAGCAGGCAGGCGGTCGGCCAGGGTGAGTGCGGGGTCCCCGGACCGTCTCCCCGGTTTGCTTCCGAGCCTCGAGGGGGACGCCGAGGGTGGGGTGTCCGGGAACCCTACTGAGGGCCCAGCAGACGCTGGGCGGTGCCGGAGGGCAGAGCGGGCGCTCGGGTCACTGGCTCTTCCCGCAGGAAGCGCCGGCCGAGGCGCTTGCTCTCGCTCGGCGGAGCTGACCCACAACTGGGCTGTGGGAAAGCAGACGGAACCCCAGATACGGCTCAAGTCCTCACCGAGGCCCCGGAGGCCTAGCGACCTTCCCCCTCACTGTTGGGTCTCCCCGCCTGCCCCGGGCCCGTGAGAAACGTCAGCCTTGGCAGGAGGCGGTGGGCAGCCGACCCCTCCGGGGCGCTGCAGAGGCCGCTGGCCCGACGCTCACCCGGCCCCAGGCCTCTGTCGGCCCCCGGGCTCCAGGCTGGCCGCAGGATGGGTGGGGACCGCGGCCGGCCGGGCTCGTCACCGATCTCTGCTTGCAGCGTGAAGAGCGGGATGGCGCTGAACCAGGGCCCGGCCTTGCTGGACGGAGAGTTCCCGGTAAGGTTCTGGCGTCCCGCGCCCGCTGGCCACGGGGGCACGGAAGGGGTCGGCCCAGCCCTGAGAGCGGCCCTGCTCCGCGCCCACCGAGCTCGGGTGCGTCAGATTCCGGGGAGGGGCGTGAGGCCTTGTAAACACGGCGCCTGAGGCAAGGGACAGGCTGGAGGAGAAGGAGGTGCTGCGGCTTCTGAGCCCCGGCCGGCCGCTGGCCTATGAGAGCAGCCCTCGGGGCGGCCTCGCGGGCTGGCCAGGGGCTGTGGCCAGGCTGCGCGTCCAGCCCACCGCTCCCTGCGGCCCGTCCGACCCCTCAGTGTGGCGCCCCGGGCTCCCTCGGGGTCAGCTCCGACTCAGGCGCACCCAGTCACAGTTCAGGGGGCGAAACCGAATGGCGGGACGCACGTGGCGCTTGGTGTGGGCCGGACACCGCGGGAGACGGCCCGACCCCTCCCGCCTGGCGGCCGAGCCGAGCCCGGAGGATGTGCAGCCCGGGTGTCAGAGACGTGCTCTTGCTGTCAGCCGCGATCCTGTCCTCCTTCACGTCCCAAACTTGCCTGATGCACAGAGGAGAAGGGGGTGCCGGCCAGGCCCACGGTCCCCGAGGGGCGTCCGCTGCAGAGCCCTGGCCCCGGGCAGAGCCCCGACGGGCAGAGACCGCGGGAGTCGGGCGCGAGCCCGAGACCCGGCTGGCCGAGGACTTTCTCCCTCTCCTGCGCGGGCAGCTGACAGCGAGGACAGACGGGCCGAGAGCCCCCGCGCCGAGGCCCGTCACTGACCGTGCCTCGCGGCCAGCCAGCCGCAGGCTCACCCCACCTCCTTCCCTGCCTGCGCCGTTTCGAACAAAGTCCCAGAAAGGCCATTCCAGGCCGGGCCTGCGGCTCAGTGCTGGCCAGCTGGGTCGTCACGGGAGGGTCACTGTCACCTCCGAGTCCCGCTGACCTCGTGATCGGGCCCCTGCCATTTTCACCGAGGCTTCGCCAGCGCCCCACAGGGCCTAGAGGGCGGCCGCGTCTGCACTGCTGGGCGCGCTGGAGTCCACCCCTCCCCCCCACCCGCGGCCAGAGCTGAGGGC